GCCAGCTCTGGTGTATGTGGCTGGCGCCTTAGCTGCTTGAGCTACAGGCACCAAGCCCAGGTTCTGTATTCTTAATGTGGCGTTACATGACACAGGGATGGGAGAAGTTGGAGAAACCTTGGAGAGACAAGGTGACATGTAGGGGGCCAGGAAGATGCCACCTGCACAACTGACACAGCCTGGGGCCTACAAACAGCCTGATGGGTGTGTACAGAATTTCATAGCTGGGCACACCCTTCTGGGGAAAGGTTGACAGCTTTCACTGGATTCTTTCAGATCACTTAACCCAAACAAAGGATAGAAAACCTGGTCCTAAATCAGCAGTTCTCAACCCGTGGGTTGCGACCCACAGGAACTGTATTAAAGGACCACGGCATTAAGAAGGTTGAGAACCACTCTCCTAAATCAACACGTTAGCACAGTGTCTGAGTCATTTAGAAAAACTCGCTGCTCATCTCTAGAGATTCAAGGCCCTGGACAGGATCTACAGGCTTCACACTCCTAGGCCTGGGAGTCAAGGCCAGTACAGCTCACCCCCACTCACCACTCTCTTAAACTCCTCTTCAGTAAAGCCCATGTTCTGTTTGGTCATCTGGTAATCAGTGTCCAGGGTGGACTTGAAGATGAGTGGGTCGTCCGTGTTGAGCGAGTAGTTAGCCTGGTCATTTTTGAACCTGGGCCAGGGGAGCAGAGGGAGGACGTCTCCTTTTACTCTTCTGTAAAGTCAGTGCACTCTGACCGTCACCCTTTTTGATCTGAGGGCAACCTTAGACTGACCTGATCTATAGAGAAGGAAACTAAGTACAGAGTCTTGGGGCACCTTGTCTGAGGCCATGCAACTAGCAGCTCCAGAGCTGGGCTCTGAGGGCCTATGTGGCAGAATGGGACACTATAGGCTATTCTTAAAACCACACTTTTGGCTTTTGTCCTACTTGTCCCTTTTTCCTGTCCCTTAAATGTCACTGTCCTTTAGGGTTCCATCCTAGGCCCTTTTGCTCCTCCACCTCCTGAGGCCATCGTTTGTTCAGCTGCCACGCACAGTGACTCACTCCTGAATCTTCCTCCAGCTCACGTGCTCCACAGGAACCACACATTCCATGTTACTAAGGCATCCTGCCCTTAATAAGCTGGGCAAACAGACCATCACAGGCCTGACTGGTCACTCTGAGTTCGTCATGTCCTTATCCTTCATCAAGGAGGCAGCTTAGCCTTCCCGAGGACTCATGCCACTCCCAGGGCTCAGTGGCACAGGACAGAAGACGGCCCTTGGTCCTGGTTGGACTCTGGGCTAGGAGCAGGGTGGGCTGAGACAGAGCCAGCGGAAAGCTTCAAGCAGGGGCAATCCAAGAGGTCCCAAGGGCCAGGTGCCAAGAGCAGAGAGTATGTCGGCAGGAGAGACTCACACTCCTGATGTGATGTCCAGGAGGCAAGTTGGGAGAGTTGGAAGTATGGAAGCTTCCCTCAGAGTAGCAGGGCGTTCTGCTGTAACCAAATGAGCCATAGGGCTCCCAGCTCTGGTGGTTAGTAGCTATGTGACCTTGGTCAAATTACAGCTTATCGTTGGGTGGCTCAGTAGGTAGGGCGCCGGTCCCATATACCAAGGTGACAGGTTCAAACCCAGCCCCAGCCAAACTGCAACAAAAAATAGCTGGGTGTTGTGGCGGGTACCTGTGGTCCCAGCTACTCAGAAGGCTGAGGCAAGAGAATCGCCTAAGCCCAAGAGCTGGAGGTTGCTGTGAACTATGATGACATGGCACTCTACTGAGGCTGACAAAGTGAGATTCTGTCTCTGAAAAAGAAAGGGCAGCACCTGTGGCACAAAGGAATAGGGCGCTGGCCCTGTATACCAGAGGTGGTGGGTTCAAACCTAGCCGTGGCCAAAAACTGCAAAAAAAAAAAAAAGAAAGAAAGAAATTACAGCTCATCTAAGCTTTGGATTCTTCAGTTGTAAGATAAGCACAGCAATGTGGGCTCCCAAGGAGTCAAATAGATTTCCTGTCTAAGAGCCCGGCCTGCACTGATGTACCTGCTCCCTATATTTCTTTCCCATCTTTGGTCTTCCTGGAACAAAACTGACTGGGCCCAGGGGACCAGAGCTCACCGAACAACTGCATGCTCCATTTCTGGCTTCCAGGCACCAGTGAGGTAGCTGGACCAGGGGCAGACCTGGAAAAGCAGGTATGAGGCTGGCAGGGCCATCCTGACCTCTCCAGGGGACCCCCACTCTAGCACCAGTCTTCCCTGGTCCCCCATTGCTGAATCCTGTGAGTTTGGTGTTCTCATCTCCCTCTCTGCTTTGTGGCAGCTTTGATGCCCACTGCCCACTCCTGACACACTCACCCTTCTGCTCCTGAGACCCGCCTCACTTTCTAGCTCTGCCTAGGATGTGGAGGAGAGCTGAGGACAGTTCCTCCCTGCTCTGGCCCCTCACCTCGAAGTGCATGTTTTCCAGCTTCAGCCTATTGTAAAGGGCCTCATTCTCCAGGGTATGGTAGCCATGCCCCAGCCGTTCTGTCTTCAGTATGTCCACAGCCTGCAGAGAAGCAGAGCAGAGCTCAGTATGGGGCAGGGAAGAGATGGAGAGGAGGACTCCACCCAGCCCAGCTCCTCACCTCTCTAACCACCTCGGCAGAGCCGACCTCCCCGGCGTGGACTGTACGGTGAATGCCACTCTTCACAGCTTCCTGGAGGGGTGAGACCAGGTCAGACGCAGCCTTGGGAGGCCCAGTAGCCCAGTCCTGTGTTCAGCACACCGTGGCCTTGGACCACCCGGCAGTCAGGACGGCCTGTGTCAGCAACGTGGGAAGCCTGGTCCCCACTTCCCTCATTATCTGAGTGTAGCTAACATTTATTAGCTAGTCACCAAGTGTCAGGCACTGATGAGATGGTTTGTATGCATTACCTAATATTACTACCTACATGCCACACATTGCATAGGAGGGAAAACTGAAGCTCAGGAAAGTTAACATGGCCAAGGTCAAACAGGAAGCATAGAACCAAGATCTGAACCCGGGCCACGGGACTCCAGAACACCCAGTGCTCTTACCCTCAAGCTATGCCCCTTCCACAGGAAGGACTTTCATTGTTAGGCTAGAAGGGACTGTTTAGATGTCTCCTCCAACTCAAGTCACCTCCATAGAGGAAACAGGTCCAGGGATGAGATAACCTCACCAGAGGTCACAGTGAATCACAGGCAAAAGCAGGATGTGGGGACTTCATCCCCAGTTCCAAGTCCCCAGGCCCAACCAAGATGCACTTGGGAACTTGGGAGCCCCACGCTCCCAGTTGGTATGACTTCTCCTGACCTCTTGCCCCTGGCCCACCTCATAGGCCTGCACGTGGCCTGCCATTAAGCTGCTTCCTTGGATGGTCTCGTCTCCTGCCAGGTCAATGGCCACCACGTTGTGCTGCTGGTATTTCTTGCACAGCTCTACCACCTCAGGGGACCAATCTGTGGGCGAGAGACACCCCCCACCCCAGGGCCTGTCAGCTGATCCTGGAGAGAGCCCTCCAGTCTTGCTTGCTGTCCCGCCCTTGCCCCCAGCCAGGGCACTATCTAGTCTTTAAACCCCAGCTGCCACGTCCTGACCACATGGCCTTTGACACCCGGTGCACTCAGTTCCCTTCCTTCTCAGAGGGAACACAACAGCTACCACACAGGGCGTGGGTGTCAAGCACCAGGGACAGAGCCTGAGCTCAGCAAATGGCCTCTCTCTCACACGGTGCCCACAGCAACCTTTAAGGTGGGCTCACCACACTTAGCAGAGGGGGAGATGGAGGGCCACACCTCCAACATCGAATCCCCAGTACAGTCCACACTCGTCGGCTGGGGTCTTAAGTCATCTTAACCCACAAAGTTATCATAAAGTAGTCGAAAAAGAAAGAATGTTCATGGGCTTTGGAATGAGACAGACTTTGTGCCTGCTTGATTGAGGAGCGAAAGGCTTCAGTTCTCTGCCTTAATTTTCTCATCTGTCAAATGGGACTAAACAATGATAGTTCTACTTCCCAGGCTGCTGTGAGGATTAGAAAATGCATGCCAGTCACTCTGCAGAATAGGCTCTGCGGGTTGGCATTGCCCGGGGCTTTGGTTCTTACTAATCCCTGGGGTGGAGGAATGAAGTAGGCACCACTGTCTCCTTAGAGCAGTGCATAACCAAGGTCTAGGGAGATGGTGTAACCTGCCTGAGGTCACTCCTGGGGCTCTTCCCCAAGGCTCAAGCCCCAGAGGTTTGATCAGGATCAGTGACAAGGGAGAGACCCCTTAGAAATTCTGAAAATCAGACCTGGTAATAGGGTCTGTGGCCCAAGAAGGACAAGGCCTGGCTCACAGGGTCTCAAGGGAGGACTGTGGGTTGATCAGAACTCGGTTTAGATTTTTTTTTTTTTAGAGATAGAGTCACACTTTATCAAGCCCTCGGTAGAGTGCCGTAGCGTCAAACTCCAACTCGTAGGCTTAAGCGATTCTTTTGCCTCAGCCTTTCCGGTAGCTGGGAATACAGGTGCCCACCACAACCCCCGGCTATTTTTTTGTTGCAGTTTGCCTGGGGCCGGGTTCAAACCCACCACTGTTGGTATATGGGGCTGGTGCCCTACCCACTGAGCCACAGGCACCGCCCAGGTTTTGGGTTTTTTTTTTGATGATTCAAGCTCCTTTGGCTTTGAGCTCTCTGCAGGTCATGTGGCTGTCAAGGCCTGGTCTCCCTGGGGAGGAAAGTATGTTGCCGAGAAGTCCTGGGCCCACCTAGGAGGCACCTCCCATGGCTTCAAGAGGTACCAAGTTTGGCTCGGCACCTGTAGCACAGTTACAGCACCAGCCACATGCACTGAGGCTGGTGGGTTCAAACCCGGCTTGGGCCAGCTAAATAATGACAACTACAACCAAAAAATAGCCAGGTGTCGTGGTGGGTGCTTATAGTCGCAGCTACTTGGGAGGCTGAGGCAAAAGAATCGCTTAAGCCCAAGAGTTTGAGGTTGCTGTGAGTTGTCACACCACAGCACTCTACCGAGGGTGACATAGTGAGACTCTGTCTCATAAAAAAAAAAAAAAGTACCAAGTTCCTGCTGATGGGCTCAAGGGGACATCATGGTAGGGTCACAGGGGAGACAAGGTACAGCCCACTACCAGGCTAGAAGGTGGGAATCAGGGTCGGTGGGCAGCCCTGGGCAGGGCTTACTCACTGGGCTGGTGGCGCATGCAGCACAGGATAGTCCGGACCTTGATCCCGAAGTCTCGCTCCCCCTCCTTCAGGCCCTGGCCCACTAGGGCCACCACCTCATCTGGGGTGAGGTCCCCTCTGTATGGGGAAAGGAGTAGGGATGGGCCTGAGGCAAAGGGAAGGCCACAGGCCCAGCACACCCTCAGAGCAGTCAGGGTATTCTGGATCCCAGAGGAGGTGTGTGGTGGTGTCAGACTGCCCTCCCCACCCTCACATGGACCACAGGCTAAGCTCAAGGCATCAGAATCAGGGCTCAGTCTCACCTGAGTTCTGAGGTTAGAGCGGGACCATTAGAAGTCCCTGGCAAAGCAGGTTAACATATCCAGAGCTATGGAGTACAAGACAGCTACACATTTTTGCCCAAGGTAAAAACAACCCGGAGCAAGGTGATTGGTGGGAACTGTGTCTCTCATGGAGTTAAACTTGTTTTCTGAGGCCATGGACCTTATCATCAGTGCAGGACTGAGGTCCTTCTTGGAGCAGGGACTTCCAACAGCCGGTTTCTCTGGTCTCAGGGTGGGGCCACCCGGTCACACTTTAGTACAGCCCCTGCCAGGACCCTCACTCACTCGGCCTGATTCCAGGGGATGGGCTCCACCTTGGAGTTGGCTAGCAGGTGTGGGCTGTATCGCACCTCCACATACACTACGCCTTCCTTAGCCTTCGACTCTACAAACTCATAGGCGATCCTTTTGATGGCCTCCCGGGAGCCCCTGGAAAGGGAAGAAAAGGGTTGGTGACAACCTTCTTCAGGTCCCTTGGGAGCTCCAGGAGTAAACAAGGCTGCCCCCAACCCTTGTCAGATCAAATCCACTTTAGTCCCCAATCCCTCAGTCCTCAACCCCCAGCTCTGGGCATCTGCTGGATAAGGTCCTGTCAACTCTGCTTCCAAACTATATGCCACCACTTTCCCCTCCACCCTGCTCATACCATGTCATCTCTAACTGTCCTCCCTGTCCCCAGGGTTCTCCCTGAAACTGTGCCAGCCCAACAGTTGGAAGAGTCTTCTACAAACACAAGTCAAAGCGTATTGTTCCTCCCGTCTAAGCCCCACTGGCTTCCCACCACGTGGGATGAGACCCCAACCTAGCAGCCCAGCCCTGCCAGCCTCCCAGGCATCTTCCTTCTCACTCATTCTCCAAGGCCACCAGGGCCTCCCAGCTATCCAAGGACTGTCAGGCATGTTCCCACATCGAGGCCTTTATGTTTGTGGCCCCTCTTCAGCCTGATGTCCCCTAAGCTCGTCCTCCACTGCCTCCCCCCTCAAGCCTCATCTCCTCAGAGAGGTCTTCCCAACCGCCTTATTATAAAACGGCCCTCCACACTTCCCTCGAACTCTGTTTTTCCTGTTGTCCTCATCACCATTTGACATTATACGTCATAAGGCTTATTCGCCCATTTCCTATTTCCTCTAGCAGCTTGTAGTCTCCAAGAGGTAAGGACACACCCTTCCCCCTCAATCTGTCTTCTCAGCTGAGGACAGTGCCTAGACATAGTGGCCAAATATTTATTTTTTGTTTGTTTTGTTTAGAGACAGAGTCTCACTTTATTGCCCTCAGTAGAGTGCAGTGGCGTTACACAGCTCACAGCAACCTCCAACTCCTGTAGCCTGTAGTCCCAGCTACTCGGGAGGCTGAGGCGGGAAGATCACTTGAGCCCAGGAGTCTGAGGTTGCTGTGAGCTATGATGCCAGAGCACTCTACCCTGGGTGACAGAGTGAGACTCTGTCTCAAGAAAAGAGAGAAAGGAAGGGAAGGGAAGGGAAGAGAAAAGAAAGAAAAAAAGAAGAGAAAAGAAAAGAAAAGTTTTACCAGTACAAATAAAGCAGGGAGCCAGCTGCTTCAACAACATGGTACAGGAGGATGGGGAGCCAGCCACAGGCCTCCTGCAGGGATAGATGGCTTATGGCCAGGGTGTGCATGGTGTCCAAGGTACCCCGGGGGCTGATGTGGCCAGAGAGGAGTGAGTGGGGGCAAGTGGCAATAGAGGAGGGTCAGGCACTGAATGTATGAGCACACAGGGCCCTGAGGACCTGGCATCAGGGTCCTTAACTTTTACTCTGAGTGACATAGGGAGACACTAGGGAGTCTGGGGTAGGGAACCGGCTTAGGTTTAAGAGAACCATTGAGATTTCTCTCCCAGCTCTGCTTCTGGGCCTTTTTAGTACCACATAATGTTCCCCACAGACTCAGACAGGAAAAAAGGAACCTCAGAGAGAACCTACGCCCACCTGACCCTCTCTTTACCCTCCCCAACTCCACACTCCCCATCCCAGAATAAGCATCCCCTCCCCTCCCAGCATAAAGCCCTGAACTAGGAGCTAGACCTGAGGACAAGCCCTGTCCTGCCTCTGAGCCATGTCTTCTCTGGGCCTTGGTTCACACTGGCCAAAGGACTCTTCCTCTCATATCTGTGAACAGTGGCAAAGTCAGGGGAGGTCAGGCTGTGGCCCCAAGGGCTGGCATCTGACTGCCCAGCACAGGCCTTCAGGGAACTGGGACTTTTCTGTCTGTGGCTGGAGAGGTAGAAACTGGCTCTGGGGTGGTATGGGCAGTGGGTACCCACACAGCGTGCCCCAGCATGTACAGGAGGTCTGCCTATGCAGTGTCCTAGCACAGAGATATCTTGGGGGAGACATTCCAGGAGGCAGTTGTGGCTATCTGTGTGTCAGCATCTCCCAGGCTGAGCTCCCAGGCTTTCAGCAAGAAGCCAGCAGCCCTGGCCACGCCTTCCTTCCCTAGGACTCCTCAAACCTGCCCTGCAACCTGCCTGCCCATGTCGTCTTCACTGGCCTCCAACCTCACACAGCCCATCCTCCAGACCATTCCTCACATCTCCTCTACACAGTGTCACACCCTCATTGTCCTTCTGGGCCCGGTCTACTCTTCCTCCTCCAGGAAGCCCTGGCCCCTTGCCTCTCCCCTTCCTGAACTCCCATAGCACCGACTGCCAAGGCCCCATCCTTGCCTGCCTGGTGTCAGGAAGCTTGAGCTGGTGCCAGGGCAAGTATCTGGGCTCCAGCACTTTCCAGTTTCAAGCTCTGCTACTTCCTTGGGCCTCTGTTTCCTTGTCTGCAAATGAGGATGTGTCTATCTTGCAGGATAATTCTGGAGATATTCTGTTATTAAAAAATGGAAGCAGCCCGGGCACTATGGTTCATGACTGTGATCCTAGCACTCTAGAGGCTAAAGTGAGTGGATTGCCTGAGCTCAGGAGTTTGAGACCAGCCTGAGCAAGAGAAAGACCCTGTCTCTACTAAAAATATAAAAGCTAGCCAGGCATAGTAGTAGCATGTGTCTGTAGTCCCAGCTACTCAAGGAAGAAGCCCAAGAGTTTGAGGTTGCTGTGAGCTATGATACCACAGCACTCAACCCAGGGTGGGCAAGAAAGTGAGACTCTATCTCAAAAAAAAAAAAAAAAAAAGAAGAAACGCTGGGTGTGGTGGCTCATGCCTGTAATCCCAGCACTGTAGGAGGCTGAGAAGGGAGAATTGCTTGAGCTCAGGAGTTCAAAACTTGCCTGGGCAAGAATGAGAACCCTGACTCATGGAAAAAATGGAGAAACCAGCCGGGCACCATGGCAAGCACCTGTGATCCCAGCGGCTTCCAGAGACTGAGGCAGTGAGATGTCCACAGCCCGAGTCTGAGGTTGCAGTGAGCTACAATGCCACTGCACTCTGCTCAAGGGCATAAGGTGGGACTCTGTCTCAACAAAAAAAAAGAAAAAAAATCAAAGCAATAAAATATGGTATAAAAGTCACTAAAGATAGCAATTATCTTCAAAGCAAGAGGGAACTTGCTAAGGACACTGCTAGGTCTGTTCCAAACCCCAGCCCTATGACATAGGTCACAAACCCTATAGTCTATTTTTTTTTTTTTTTTGAGACAGTCTCACTATGTTGCCCTTCATTGAGTGCTTTGGCGTCACAGCTCACGGCAACCTCAAACTCTTGGGCTCAAGCGATTCTCTTGCCTCAGCCTCCCAATGTAGCTGGGACTACAGGCACCCACGACAACACCTAGCTATTTTTTGTTGCGGTTGTCATTATTGTTTAGCTGGCCCAGGCCGGGTTTGAACCCACCAGCCTCAGTGTTTGTGGCTGGCACTATAACCACTAAGCTACAGGCACTGAGCCATACCCTGTAGTCTAGAAGAGCAAATGGAAACCCAGAGAAGGTAACTTTGCCCAATGTCACAGTCATTGCATGGAAGCATCGGACACTAGTATCTGTATCTGTCAATTCTCTGTAGAAGTGGAAGCAATTTCAGGCCATCGCACCCACACTTGGGAAGGGAGGAGCAAGGACTAAAGGTAGTCACACAAGTGTACACAATGGTGAGAAGAGCTGTGGCTTCAGAGCACCTCCCTGGCACTGCAGCCTGAAGGACAAGGACCAACACAGTCCCAGGACCCAAGGACTGGGGGAACTCACGCGATAGCAGGCATGTAGTAATCAAACTTGGCCAGGAACTCCGGGAGGGAGAGTGGCTTGTCCATGCCAATGATGTTCTGCAGCTCCTCTGCCGTGTCAGCTGGAAGGGCAATCCCTCTCTTTCTAGAAACAAAACAATGAGGGTGGCAGACCAACCTAAGACAGGATCCAAGCAGGCCTAACTGGGTGGGACAGACTCAGGAGCCCCAGCCTCCTCAGAGGACCACAGCAGGAAACATGGGCTTCCTCCCATCCAACTCCTCTCATTAGACAGATGGGAAAACCGAGGCCCAGGGCATAGGGAGCCAGGCCCAGAATCCTTCCTATACCTCTGCCCCTGAGCCACAAGTCAGCAAACCTCAAGGGGGACAAACAGGTGGAAGTTGTTTGTGGGAATGCACATGTGTGTATCCATACACACACACACACACACTATCCACACCCTTGGTGGGCTGATGCCTAGAAACCGGGAAATTGCCAGGGCAAGTCCACAACTTCCTCCTCAGCCCCAAGCAGCAGACAGAGCCAGCTGGTCCTACATCCGGTCAGGGGTTATCAGGGGCAGTAACTACAGCATCACAATTCCAGGGGCAGGGTAGGGCAGGCGCCAGTCCGTACCTTTTCCACCTTCTATCTGGCCAGCACATCAGAGAGGCTTGCCAGGCCCTGTGTGCAGGGGAGCACATGGGTGGGGCCCCAGGAGCCTACCATTCAGCTTGAAGCTTTCTCCTCCACCGCCCTCTCCTCCCGCACGGGGCCAGACCACAGCAACACGGCTAGGCCTCGCTGAAATGGCCCTTCTACCATGCAGGCTCCTTCCCCCCCTTAGCATCTCTGCCTCCCTCCCAGCGGCGGGAAGCCAGGTGCAAGCTCAGTGTGGGAGGGGGAGAGGGTCCTCCCTTCTGCATAGGCTCCTGCCTGCTCCTCCTCACACCCTGACTCTGTCTGTTCACAAGGTCACCATGGGCTTTCCCCACTTTTAAGACAGATGAGACAACCAAGGAACACCAGACATTAAGAAATGCTTCTTGGGCTCGGCGACTGTGGCTCAAGTGGCTAAGGCGCCAGCCACATACACCCAAGGTGGCGGGTTTGAATCCAGCCCGGGCCCACCAAACAACAATGATGGCTGCAACCAAAAAAAAATAGCTGGGTGTTGTGGCGGGCGCCTGTGGTCCCAGCTACTTGGGAGGCGGAGGCAGGAGACTCGCTTGAGCCCAGGAGTTGGAGGTTGCTGTGAGCTGTGATGCCACAGCACTCTACCCAGGGGGATAGCATGAGGCTCCTGTCTCAAAAAAAAAAAAAAAAAAAGAAATGCTTCTTGGTTGGCTCAGCACCTGTACCTCAAGTGGTTAGGGTGCCAGCCACATATACCAGAGCTGGCAGGTTTGAATCCAGCCCGGGCCTGCCAAACAACAAAGACAACTACAATTAAAAAAGAAAGAAAAAAAAAATATATATATATACATATGTAAGAGAGTTGCTTAAGCTCAAGAGTTGGAGGTTGCCATGGCACTCTACCCAGGGCAACAACTTGAGAAAATGTCTCAAACAAAAAAAAAAAGAAAGAAAGAAATGCTTCTTGGCAAGGTGTGGTGGTTCACACCCATAATCCCAGCAGTTTGAGAGGCTGAGGCAGGAGGATCACATGAGGGCAGGAGTTGGAGACCAGCCTGGCCAACACCGTGAGGCTCCATCATTACTAAAAATTTAAATTTTAGTTCAATCCTAAGAAATTAGAAAAATTAGCCAAGTGTTGTGAGGCACACCTATAGTCCCAGGTGCTCTAGAGGCTGAGGCAGGAGGATCACCTTGAGGCCAGAACTTTGAGGTTGCTGTGAGAAATGGACCATACCTCTGCATTCTAGCTTGGGTGACAAGAGCATGACCTTGTCGCAAAGAAATTAAATAAAAAATAAATAAAAAGAAATGTAAGATGCTTGTAACATGGGGGATCAAGCAAGAGAAATACACAAAAGACACCCCGGGGAAACAAAGCAGAGAACAGAAGGAAACTCAGAACGAAACAAAAACCTAACCTCAATGAGTAGACATTACATCCTTGAAGCAAGAGAGTCCCTTTGTAACAAGGAGATGTTCAGACAGTAAGAACGAGTTCTTGGAAATTTAAAAGAGAACATGGCAGCAGCAATCAGGGTGTCATAAAAAGAGCAGACACTCAAAGTGAAGAAATCCTCCAGAAAGGAGAACAAAAGGATAAGAAGATGGAAAAGAGGAGCGCACAGCTAAGAAAATCAGAAGATTAAATTAGGAAGTCCAATCATCCAATTATCCACAGAGCAAGGAAGCAATTGCTAAACAAATAGAAGTTTGACTTATATACCATTAAAGTTCTTATGCTATTAAAATATTAAAATATTTTTCACTACAAATATGTATTTCTTAAGCCCCTAGATATTTCCTCTTCCCCATCTGGTAGGCTTAGTCCCTGTGAGTACCCAGTAGGGACCATCAAGGAGCCACCCGGGTGTTCCCCACCTGCTGGTCAACCCACCACGGCCCTTACCAGCAGCTCTGTATGGCACTGGGGAAACAGGATGCCCTGGCATAGTGCTGGCACCCAGAGGACAGATGCTCAGTCCCTGTGGAAGCCCCTGGTGCCAGCCAGCCTCCCCAAAAGTCACCTTCACAAAGCTGTGCCCAGTAACCATGGCCCCTGGTTGTGACATGTTCTATGTGGGTATCATTCTGGGAATTAGTGGGTGGAAGGCAAGGAGGTGACATTAAGCCTCTAGCTCTCATATTGCCCAACCCAGGGGCCACATTTGCCTTGGGCCCCTGGACTAGCTCTGGGTGACTTTCCCAACGGTCCTCCTGCAGCTCCCAGGACCCCACCACTTCTTGCCGGGCTCTGCCCTCTGGCCCTTCCCTCTCAGACTCTGCCTTCTACACACCTGCCCAGATGAATTCATCTCTTTGCACAGTTTTCACCCAGGATCCCAAGGTCTACAGTTTCTGATATTCTGTCTACACATTGCCATTGGAGGGGCTATGATGTGTCAGGCACTGGACAGACAGCAGCAACCAAGATGCACCCACGCACCTGACCACCTCCCCTTCCCTCAAGGCTCTCTCTGCCCAGAGTTCTGCATTTGCACCTGGGTCCCCCATCCACCTCGCTGCCCAAACCAGAGGCGAGGGCCTCTCCCCACTCCCCAGCTCCCTTGCCTACCAACTGCCAGTCCCCAAGAACTCGTTACTTTGTTTACTAAACATTTCCCCTCTTGGTTTCCTCTCCTCCAGCCTCCCTCCTCAACAGTCACCAAGAAAGAACTTTTTAACACATAGTTGAGATGGAACAGCCAGGGACAGCCTCTCTAAGGAGGTGACATTTAAATAGAAGAGTTGGAGGATGGAGAAGGAGGGATTCCAGGAAGGGAGGAGTGTGGGTAGCGGTGGGGACACAGGGAGCAGGGGTGAGTGGCCAGTGGTGAGCCAGAGGGGAAGCAGGGCTAGGCTGCAGCCAGAGATGGGCTGGGACTTTATCCTGAGTTGCTGGGAGGATTTTAAGCAGGGGCGTGGCATGAAGTGATGTACATTTTTTAAAACCTCCTCTGGCTGTTGCCTGGGAGAACAAACAGCAGAGAAGCTAGAGCAGAAGCCAGGGAGTGAAGCCCAATGGGGGACAGAGACATGCTCTCCAGCACCCCTCACACAGGACGCAGCCTCCAGAAGCCGCTCAGACAACTAGGAAGTTGTCCCTAGGGCCCTGCTTTTCCTGACACCCCTGGCCATGGCAGAAGCCTACTCTCCTCACAGCCAGGCTCTCCTCTTAGAGTCCCCGTGGCGCTGTCCAGTCTCCCCCTGGCTTGGTGGGCAACACAGCCACCAGAGGCCCACCCTCGGGGAGCACAGGGAAGGAGGGTAAGGTCACACTTTGGAGGTCAGAGTCCATCTCCCTCCTTTATTTGCCACACTACTCCGGGCAGGAGCTGTCCTCTCTGAGGACTTCCATGCCTTTGTCAGTAAAACACAGATATTTTTTTCCAGGGGTACAAAGAGGAGCAAATGAGACTATTTCTAGTTATGGGAAAGACAATTGACTCCAAGGTCCGATAGCCCAAGTTTGAATCCTAGCTCTGTTACTTAAAGGCTGTGTAACCTTGGGCAAATTACCCAGCCTCTCTGTGTTCCCTAGTCTGGCATGTTTGACAAATATACAGTGTGGCAGATTAAGCAAGGTCAGAGAGGCCAGAGAGGTGATGTGGGCTTTGCAGGACGTTAGGGCCATGTGTGGACTTTGGCTTTGACCCTGGGTGAGACAGGGGTGTTGGAGGATTTCTGGCAGGGAAGTGAGCTGGTGCCACCCTGTTGAAAGATACTGCTGACTACAGTACTGCAGGGTGGGAGTCGACACCACAGACCAGTCAGGAGGAGGCCACAGCACACATGGGAGTCGGTGATGGCCTAGACTGGAGTGGCGATCGGGAGAGGGTAGCCAGACTCACAGTATGCTTTGGAGAAAGAGCTGATAGGGCCTTGAAAGAGACTGCGAATGAGGGAGGAGAAGCCCCTGGAAAGGGGGGAATCACACCAGCTAAAGGAAGAAAACACAGGTGACAACAGTCAACTCAGGCAAAGGAAGAAAACATAGGTGACAACAGTCAACTCAGGCAGGCCCAAGTCACAGAGACAGAACAGGGGACACTGGATTGGGCCTGGGGGTAACAAAGGCCAGGGGCTCCCCTCCTTCTGTCCTCCTGGCCCAGCTGGCTCTCTTCATGTTTATGGGCACCCTGTCTGAGTGTGACCCACTCCCAGGTCCCTAGACTGCTGGCTCCAGGTTAGACTCCATCTGGCACCAATATGCTCCCTCCCCGGGGCCTGGAGGTGATGCAGGGAACACCAGCCCAGCAGCCCATGCTGGCAGCTCCTTTCCCTTTTCCCTTCACCCCACCCTGGACACTCTGGCCTCCTCGGCTCCCCGGTGAGTGCCCAATGACCCTTTAACTAGCACTTCAATTAGATCTCATCTTGGTGCCCCACCTGAGCGACCTCATTAGGGGTCCATGGCAATAGTTGGTGGCTCAGCATGGGCAAAGGCCAGCCAAAGATAAGCTAAGAGGCTTCATTCCACATAGCCAGCACCATAAATTTATAATTAATAATAATATTATCATTCAATGACATTTATGAAGCACTTAATGTAGGCTAGGGCCAGAGCTAAGCATGTTTTGTGCATTACTTCACCTCCATCTCTACCTGGCAGGGGTAAGGTCAGGGGCATGGACTCAGGGCAGACCACTGCCCTGTGCTTACTGGGCAAGTTTCTTTACCCGTCATGGTACAGCTCTGTCATCTGGAAAGTGGGGGCTGTGAGAGTCCCTATCTCACAAGTTGCTGTGAGGAGCTGATGAATAAACCCAGCAGAAGCACTTAAAGAAAGGCTTGGCGTGCAGGAGATGCTGATAGGCTTATATCACACAGTTAAAGGGAAATTAAATCAATGGCACTTTCTAGGGCAGATAAAGGTCTCTGGGAGCATGACAAGATGGAGAGAATTTTCTAGAACTCTCACAGGGTGTCGGAAGATATACTCCCAGGAGTTGGGAGCAAACACCCAAGGCTCACCAGTTCTCTCCCCAGGAGCAGGGATCGGGCAACTGAGGGGATTCTGAGAGGCTGAGTCCTTCCCAAAATGTTGAGCAAACTGTCTGTTGGGCAGGGTGGGATGGGGAAAGGGCCCCTCTCTCCCAGGTCGGCTCTGGAGGAAGGTCCTGCTCTTACCCTCACTCTCGAGAGTGGTCACAGAGCGAAAATGAGGTGTCTATGGGTAAGGAATTCTCAAAACCCTGACAGGAGTGCAGCCATTTTAGAAAAATGATTCAGAAGCCAGCAATTCTCTCCCCAGATTCCTGGAGTCCCTCAAGGCCAGAGTTCCTGGAAATAGCTCTACCCATAAGTGACCCTAAAAATACATTTATAAACATGACCAGGACTACAGAAGAGCCCCAGGCAGTACTCCCGGCTATTCCAGCTATACTGATAAGGCTAATAAAGGCCTTGGGCAACTGGGTGGGATCTGAGCCCACAGCTGGGCAGACTGCAATTTCCTTTTCCCTTCTATTCAAGTCTTTTCTTGTACATACACTGGCCGCCTCTCCTTTCTTGAGGACTCTCACCCTGGTTTTATGCCAGAACCTCTCAGTGTTCAGATTTGAATGTAGACCATTGGGCTTCCAAAGTCCCTGCTCTTAAATGCTGAAACCAAGATGGGACCAGTCCTTGAGTTTTGGGAGGAAGGGAAGAACCTTCCCCACTGGGGGGAACTGAGGGGTCTTTGGTCCCATAAGAGTTGCGGGCAGGAAGTGTTTTCTCATTTGGATTATTTGGCTCATGCCTATAATCCTACCACTTCTGGGAGGCTGAGGTGAGGGGATTGCTTGAGCTCAGGAGTTGGAGACCAGCCCAAGCAAGAGCAAAATCCCATCTGTACTAAAAATAGAAAAACTAGGTGGGCATTGTGTAGGGTGCTTGTAGACCCAGCTACTCTGGAGGCTGAGGCAAGGGGATTGCTCAAGCCCAAGAGTTTGAGGCTGCTGTAAGCTATGACACCACAGCACTCTACCCAGGGCAAGAGAGTGAGACTCTGTTTCACAAACAAATAAACCAACAAGCTCAAAGATTTGGGGCCAGGGTGCCTGTAGCTCAATGGTTAGCACACCAGCCCCTTGCACTGGGAGTGGCAGGTTTGAACCTGGCCAGAGCCTGCTAAATGAAAAATAAATAAATAAAAATAAAGTTCCCTTGGGACCAGGCATGGTACTCCTAGCAGTCTGGGAGCCTGAGGCAGGTGGATCGCCTGAGCTCACAGGTTCGAGACCAGACTGGGCCAGATTGAGACCCTATCTCTAAAAATAGCCAGGTGTTGTGGTGGGCGCCTGTAGTCCCAGCTACTTGGGAGGCTGAGGCAAGAGAATCACCTAAGCCCAAGAGCTGGAGGTTGCTGTGAGCTGTGATGCCACAGCATTCTACTGAGGGTGATAGAGTGAGACTCTTGTCTCTAAAAAGAAAAAAAAAATAATAATAACTGATGGTGTGGGCAATTGTCTTCACTTCTGAGCCTACTTCCTCCTCAGTAAAGTAGGGGTGGCATATCTTCCTTTCCCACATGTGGAGAGATTAAAGGGGCAGGTGTAGTGCACCCAGTCCAGCCCAGCACCCACTCAGTAGGCATGTTTCCACTTGGGTACATCATCTACCATGGCTCTTGGCCCAGTCAAAGGATGGTGACTGATTCAGCCCTGGGAACTACCTTGGCCTGGCCAGCCTGGCAGCAGGAGGACAGAAGGGCAGGAGATAGGCAGTGGCCTTCATGTCCCCACACACCACCTCTTCTGGCTGGGTGCTGGCTTGATCCTACAGAGATCCCTCCTCCACAGACCCTGCCCAAATTCTGGGGAGGGAGGGCTCTTCTCTAAGGACTTACCTGCCGTAGTATAAGATGGTTTCAGGTCTGATGGCTCCATCGAGGTGGACATGCAGTTCTACCTGTGAGGAAAGGATGGAAGGGGGAGAAGAGAGAGAGAAGACACCTATGAATGCCTGAAGGATCTTCCAGAGGGTTGACATCAGCATCAATGGCGATAACATTTGCCACGATGATGAGCGCCACATGCACTGCACCGACTTTTTGCTTACCCTATCTCGTTTTGACCTCACCTGTGGGCCAGGTTCATTGTCATCCCTACCTCTTTTACAACTGAGGACTACAGGGTTCAGAGAGGTTGAATATTTTGCCCAAAACCACACAGCAAGCAAGTAATGGAAGCAGGAAACCACCCCAGGGCCTTTTTTCTTAACTAAGGCTGGTGAGTGACAGACTCAGGATTCTAACTTGAGCCCAGTGCTGAAGCTTGTGCTCTTAGCTATGAGGCCAGCCAGGATCCCATAGAGACAACCAGGCCTGAGCCACCCTGCAGGCAGCTCCTGCTCTCCATGAACTCACCAGATAAAATCCAGTCTTAACAAAAAGGATTGCTCTAGACATCCTGAACTAGTGAATATCCACAGTGTATTTCAAACATCAGGCCCTATTTTCTACAGCAGGTGCTATTCAAGCATAGCTTATCAGGAATCAAAATTAGGCCCCACTAGATCTTTCTAGTACTCTGGAAAGGGTGCTGGATACTTGACTTTCTTGATGATCATCTATCTGCTCAGCTCTATTTATGATACTTCACATGCAAAGCCAAGTCTAAAAGCAGGGCTTTGCAGATATCTCATCTGGCTTGACTCCCAGCTCTGTCCCTTCTCTGGCTGCATGACCTCGGATAAGACACTTGACCTCTCTGAGCTTCAGTTTCCTCATCTGAAAACAATGGAATACTATACTCTCCATCCAATAACTATAAAGATTATAAAAGGCAGCATAGGAAGGACACACATAGCCAAAGAAAACAGTCCCTGACTCTCAAAGAAACATAGCAGGTGCTGGGAGACAGTGGGGAAGGGACGTTGTCATCTGTTGTTCCAAGTGATGGTACAACCTTTTAGAGCCAGAAAACTCTCAGCTGCCATCTCTGGAACTTAGAGACTTGGATTTCTTATATCCAAAGATATAGCCAAGGAGCTGCTGGCCCAAGGGCATCCTAGCCGGACACACATGACCTGCAGAGGAAACCCAACCCAGGTCCACGGAAGTCCGGGAGAGAACAGAGAGACATGAAGTGCTCTCACCAGGACCTCAGAGTAATCAGCTCTCTCCAGAGCACGTCAGCCGACCAAGGACAGAGCAGTACTCACACCCAGGCTTGCAGTCAACTTAGCTGTTGGATTCCTTGGAAACATGAGTTCAATTCCTACTTGGCCACATGTTTATATAGGTTCTCAAAATACACTCAGCTTTGGGAATACTGAAGCTCACAGCCCAGGGAATTGACAACCAGCTGTGTGACCTTGGACAAGTGACTTCACCTTTCTGAGCTTCTGTTTTCTCATCCTTAACTCCCACAGGGCTGTGGAGAGGACCCAGCCAGAGAGGCAGGGCTGGGTCACAGTTAAGAGCATCACGCAGTTAAGGCTAGAATCTGGCTGGGCTTGGTGGCTCACACCTGTAATGCTAACACTCTGGGAGGCCAAGGTGGGTGGATTGCCTGAGCTCGCAGGTTTGAGACCAGCCTGAACCAGAGAGGGATATTGTCTCCAAAATAATAGCCGGGCGTTGTGGCGGGCACCTGTAGTCCCAGCTACTTGGGAGGCTGAGGCAAGAGAATCGCTTAAGCCCAAGAGTTTGAGGTTGCTGTGAGCTGTGACTCCACAGACACTCTACCAAGGGCGACATAGTGAGACTCTGTCTCAAAAAAACAAACAAACAAACGAAAAAAAAAAAAAACAGGGCTGGAATGCCAGAGCCTCCATGCCCTCACTGCATGACCTTGAGAAAGTTACTTCACTTCCTGAGCCTCCCATGCTGATTTGTCAAATGGGGAGAGTAACATGCCTTCCTTTTGGGCTTCGTGAGGGGTAATGATGTTAGCGTATGTGGAATTCTTGGCACACAGCAAATGCTAACTACGTATTGCCTAAAAGTCAACAAAGGCTCAGGCCTCTGCTGAGTGCTGGAAGAGGTAGCAGGAAGGTCCCTGTGCTCTGTACAGTCCATCAAGGGCAAGAGGCAGGAGGCAAATGCCACATCGATAAGCTATGGTCACAGAACAGGACGACTCCTTGGGAAGTACAAACACAGTCCCATGAAAGGTGACAAACAGAAGAACATAGCACAGCCAGAGGGCCAGCTGTGGCTTCCGGGAGAAAGCAGAGCCCGAGCTACAAGCTGAAGGATAAAGAGGAACTGACTCAGCAAGGCAGGGGTGAGGAGGTAGGGGTGAGACGGGAGACAGGGGTGAAGAGGGAGGTAGGGGTGAGGAGGGAGGCAGGGGTGAGGAGGGAGGTAAGGGTGAGGAGGGAGTCAGGTGAGAAGGAAGGCAGGGGTGAGGAGGGAGTCAGGTGTGGGGAGGGAGTCAGGTGAGGAGGGAGTCAGGTGAGGAGGGAGGTAGGGGTGAGGAGGGAGTCAGGTGTGGGGAGGGAGTCAGGTGAGGAGGGAGTCAGGTGAGAAGGAAGGCAGGGGTGAGGAGGGAGTCAGGGGTGAGGAGGGAGTCAGGTATGGGGAGGGAGTCAGGCTGAGGAGGGAGGTAGGGGTGAGGAGGGAGTCAGGTGAGGAGGGAGGTGGAGATGAGGAGGGAGTCAGGTGAGAAGGAAGGCAGGGGTGAGGAGGGAGGTGGAGATGAGGAGGGAGGCAGGGG